GCTACAAGGAGAAGTGTGTGAGTAATTTTGTAGTTTTTTGTACAGTCCCAGTTAGGACTGTTAGTATGGAATGAGAGATTATAAAGACTCACAGTTCTTTTGGATTTGCATGACAGAAGGCTCATACTGCAGTATCACAGTATTGACTGGACCTGCTAGGAAAGATACCACCTTTGGTGTGGCACAGGTTTTCTTGTAACATTATTCCCTACAAATCTATGAATGTGAAAGACTGAATCTGTGTTAGTGAATATATTTAGTGTTCATTTCCATGGCTAGAGTGTAGGTTTCTTGAAATCAAAAGTCTTTCTTCTCTTTGTCCTTTCTTATTACTGTATCATGCAGTAACATATTTGAAAGGAAGTGTGCAATGTGTGAATGACCATGATGCCTTCATCTTCTCCTGTACAGATATCCACTGAAAAAGAACCTCTGATTTGTAAGCCTAACAAAATCCTTCAGGGACAATTAGAATTATCAGCAGGTCTAGTGGGCTATTTGGCAGAGGATCTCAGTTGATGCTTACACAGTGTTTACTGTGTGTTCACCGCTGTATAAGATATGATAATGAAGATGCACTCTGTGACACACTGTGTCTTTTTCCTGTTCACAATTTCATGGCAGGTCCTGTTCTCCTTAGCCTACTTCTCTGAAGCAAGCCTTCTAGAAGACTGAATGGGGCATGGTAACAATGTCACAGAATTTGTCCTCCTGGGCCTCACTCAGGATCCCAGTGCACAAAAAGCATTATTTGTCATGGTTTTACTCATCTACACTGTGACAATGCTGGGCAACCTGCTTATCCTGGTGACTGTCCTTGCCAGCCCTTCCTTGGACTCCCCAATGTACTTCTTCCTTGCCAACCTTTCACTCCTAGATGCTGTGTATTCCACTGTCTTCTCACCCAAGTTGCTGATGAATCTGCTCAGTGATAGAAAGACCATTTCCTTCCCAGCCTGCATGGGCCAGATCTTTACAGAGCACCTATTTGCTGCTGCTGAGATCTTCCTTCTGATGGCAATGGCCTATGACCGCTATGTGGCCATCTGTAAGCCTCTGCACTATTTGACCATCATGAACCAACGGGTTTGCATCCTTTTGTTAGTAGTGTCCTGGGCTGGAGGTTTTACACACTCTCTGATTCAACTTGTGTTTGTGTATAATCTCCCCTTCTGTGGCCCCAATGCCATTGATCACTTTGTCTGTGACATGTACCCATTGCTGGAGCTTGCATGCTCTGACACTGAACTTATTGGCCTCTCTGTAGCCGCCAATAGTGGAGCCATGTGTACAATGGTCTTCATACTCCTCCTTATCTCCTATGGAATCATCCTAAACTCCCTTAAAACTCACAGTCAGGCAGGGAGGCGCAAGGCCCTTTCTACCTGCATCTCTCACATCACTGTGGTTGTCCTCTTTTTCATTCCCTGTATTGTCATGTATGTTAGACCTGTCTCCAACTTTCCCTTTGATAAATTCATAGCCATTTTTTATACCCTGGTTACTCCTATGTTAAATCCTTTAATATACACTTTGAGAAATTCAGAGAT